GACGTCGACTACTCCGATCAACGCCTTCGCTATGCATGATACCAGGACTGGCGACCGGACGCCATTACACTATACAATGAAGACTCCCGCACGACACTCTCCCGGCGGACAGTCTCATTCTAATAATATTTCCCATTCACGATCTAATTCGTATAACATCAACCACTCCCATTCTCACTCTCAGACACTCCGACCTACCAAGTCAACAAAAACATCGACTCCTCTCGCCTCTCCCCGGATGCCCTACTCAGTCGGTCAGAATCACCCTCCACCCAAGCTTTCGCCTCGCGTGGTCTCCGACAACAGATCACCAAGTCCTAACTATTTTGGCCTCATCGTCGAATCAGCCAATGAGCGTGGAGACTCCTCCTCAGGACTCCCTAACGAGAATTGGAGCCCTTCATCATCAGTGAAATCCTTCCAGGCTGCGATTCCCAAGCAGGTCCCTCTTGATGCTAATCCCGAGTTCGAGGCCTTCAAGAGACAGGCTGACTTCAACCGGGGCAAGTCGTTTGCTCTCTCCACCAGTCACTATGCTCAGCCTTCAGTGACATCAAATGGATTTGCACCTGTGCGCCCTCGACCTCCCAGATGGCACACCCATGGAAGTGACACTGGCGGCCCATCGCCCTTTGGCCGTGGCTTGAGCTCTGCCAATGTTCGACCAGCCAGCCGGATGGATGTGGACCAGGACAGCCTAGGAGATTCGGCCTATGTGTCATCAGACTCGAAGCGTAATTCCGAATCATCTCTCTACGGCCATGTTCCAGCTCTGAACATGCCCCGATTCGACTCTCCACTACCAATGGACCCTTCACAGCAAAGAGCGAGTCTAACTCGATCTGAAGATCGCGACCCTCGGCTATCTGTAATGGAACATCGCCCGGATCCTCCTGATTCTCGAGATATTCGACGCTCTGCAACATTACCAGCAACACTGGAACCAGGACAGCCTCACATGATCACAGGTCAACAGCTAAGGGACATTCTTCAGAGTGTGAAGCCAGAAAGACTGCTTATTCTTGACCTTCGATCATCACAGAATTACGCCCAGTCCAGAATTCAAGGTGCTCTCAACCTTTGCATACCCACTACACTTCTTAAGCGAGCCACCTTCAACATTCAGAAACTCAAGCAGACTTTCCAGACTAGCTCTGACTCAGACAAGTTCTCTACCTGGAAGGATACTGACTACATCATTGTTTATGATGCCCACGCCTCCGACAAGCGCGATGCTATCACCGCTCAGAACATGATTAAGAAGTTCACGAGTGAGGGGTATGCCGGCGGCACCTGTATCCTCAAGGGTGGCTTCAACTCTTTCCAGGAGAACTTCCCTGACTTGGTCGATCACCAATCTGCAACTGGATCTCCTGGAAAACCCGGTCCTGGTCATGGAGGTATTGCACCTGTCATCGGCGGGGTCATGCTTCCCACTACTAGCAACGACGTGAACCCGTTCTTTTCCAACATTCGCCAGAACATGGACTTGGCTGATGGTGTTGGCCAATTGGATGTATCGCGACCTTCAGCCCTTGACTCACCCTCTCTTCCCCGTTGGCTACGAGAGGCCGCCGCGAAGCCTGACCACGGAAAGAAGGTTTCGGACAAGTTCCTGCATATTGAGGTTGACGAGCAATCTCGAATGAAGGCGGCCTATGCGGCTTTCAACCCTCAAAACAAGGATAAGCGAAGCCAGGTTCAACTCTGTGGTGTTGAAAAGGGTGTCAAGAATCGATACAAAGATATCTTGCCTTTCGAGCATGCTCGAGTGAAGTTGCAAGAGAAGCCTGAAGGTTCATGTGATTACATCAACGCAAGCCACCTCAAAGCTTCCCGAAGCAACAAGCAGTACATCGCCACTCAGGGACCACTCCCCGCCACTTTCGAGGTATGTCGCAAGCCGCTTACACTATGCGAGAGTTTGACTAACGTCTATTCAAGGACTTTTGGTCTGTCATTTGGCAGCAAGATGTGCGTGTAGTCGTCATGTTGACTGCAGAGTCTGAAGGCGGGCAGCTCAAGTGTCATCCTTACTGGAAGGGCAGAGACTTTGGAGCCATTAGACTGAAGCTTCTGTCTGAGAAGAAGGTATCTCTGGACATCGACAAGCATAGGTCCGATTCACATCACACGCCATCGGCTTCGGCCAGCGAACAGGGACGCAAGCGTGCAAACACCACGACAACATTCGAGTCTTCGACACCTACACCGAGACCAACTCAAGGCCCCGTGGAGACCCCCTACGTAATTGTTCGCAAGTTTGCACTTTCTCATACCGCCCATCCTTTTGCGCCCATTCGAGAGATTACTCACTTGCATTTCCCGTCGTGGCCTGACTTTGGTACACCTGCACAGCCATCGCACCTGTTGGCGCTGGTTGAGCTGGCCAATGTCATGCAGCGTTCTGCTCTGCCTGTTGAGACATCCTCGATGGTGGGATCCAAGATTACGTCACTTGAGTCACTCCCTATTACATGGTACGATGAGCCCGAGGCCGACTCTCGGGCACGACCAATGCTGGTACACTGTTCCGCTGGATGTGGTCGCACTGGAACATTCTGCACTGTCGACAGTGTTATTGATATGTTGAAGCGTCAGCGACAGGCCAAGATGGATTCGGTACGATCTCGTGATCATGACGGAGATGTCAATATGGGCGAGAATGGGGACATGTCACCCCGCTCTACCAAGCACTTTAACTTTTTCACCCCTGGTCAGCGATCCAACATGGAGAGAAAGGTGGCTCGAGGCGGCGCAAACATCAACATCGACTGGCTATACGACGATAGTGTGGATCTCGTCCAGAAGACGGTGGAGGATTTCCGAGAACAACGACTCAGCATGGTGCAGAGCCTGCGACAATATGTTCTCTGCTATGAGACAGTCCTCGAATGGGTAACGAGGATGAATGAGCGAGCGTCAAGCGCTCCAAATGGACGACTACGAAGTGGCAGCCTCCGCCACTAAGATCAGGACGCATGACGAATAAGTAACGGTTATTATGGAGCACATCTGCATAGGGCACATGGAATAATGCAACACACGGAAACTGGATGGATGGTACAGGCGTTTAATGGTTCAGCTGCGTACGATTCTATAAGGAGGCTAGCGCGGCGAGCATGCAATGCTTACGAAAGGGACATTATAAAAAATCAGCGTTAAGGGGGACCTTGACTTGATACTTACTATGAGTATGATTGGTTCTTAGGGGTTTCTGTATAGTAGAACAAAAAGGTACGATGGAAGGGGAACGGAGCAACCTTGGAATCATTGGACTTGCATAGTAGGATCATGAAAGGCTACGTTGCGTGTGCGATTAACATTGCGAGAGATTCGTTTATGTGAGATGTATGATAACAGAATAAGCCAAGTTAAATTGCAGTATCAAAACTGACACTATTGTCCTGAAGATATGGAGCCACGTCTGAATCTATTACATATTATCGTGGAGATATGTGAGCCCATCATTACAACAACAATAGAAAATGCTGGTAGTCCAAATACATCGATTTCCTAATTGGTCGTTGTATCTATCACGCGAGACGTAGAGGCGCATCTGGGTCCAATTGCAGCAAATCACCCAGAATGGCACAATGCACAATCGCAATCTTGGCTCCAAAAAGCGTCACGGGAGGGGAAACACGTGTGATGACGTCGTATCGAGTACACATGCATGAATCTGGGGAGGGATGGGCTTTTCGGTAAACCAAAGATAGAAATGTCATGGCTGGGGTATGAGACGAGACGAGACGGGCATGACCGGGCTGGCCAGCCTGGAGGGGCGCTTCGGTAAGCGGGAAAGGGCCTCGTTTCAGTAATCGTCGACTAACCTAGTGACAGTAGAAGAGGGAACGGATAAGGTTAGGTGATTTGCAGAATTGATGTGATTGATAATCGTGGAGACATGGTTCTGGTGGGTTCTTTGGAATGGATTAGAGCTCATCTTATAAGCTGACCTAACCAGACTCAACTCGCTATCGTGGACTCGCTGTAAGCCAGTGAGTGAGTCCGCTGGAGTTTAGTGGCCTAACCCCAGGCTCCCCGGGCAGCCCAGGGATCTTGACACATGCCCTGTCCATTGTCCACTGTCCACGAAGCTGGGGCGTCAAAGTTTCACAATGTTCCAAGGAAAAAAGGATTCTGCCTCAAGTAATAACAAACAACAAAAGAGGAAAAAGAAAACGTCTATGCTTTTGGTACTCGAAACTGGAACCTTCCCTCCTTATTGTTAACCCCCCACTTCCCTTCCCTCCCCTCCCCTCCCACTCTTTACATATCCCTTTAAGGTAGTCGCGGCGCATGCATCCATCTCATCGTTCTTGAAACGGGTGCCTTCCCTATCGTCGTCGCAAGCAGTGGAAAGAGCGGCACTTGGAAGCCACCAACTGCATATGCAACTGCAGCTGCAACGACGGGAAAGTGCGAGTCCAACGATAAGGAATTACACTTCATTGGCTTGACTCCCCCGCCATCACCTGGCACTTGGTGTCTTCTACTGTTTTCCCTCCTCCAACCTCACTCACTCACTTCCATTCTTTTCTCTTTCCATCTTATCTTTATTCACAATAGCCTGACGCTTTTGTAAGCTTTAATAAACGGCCTGTGCAATACTCATATTTTGTCTTCCGCATTCCCCTCGTTTCTACTCATCTGCGCCTTTATTATACGCATTCATCGCGACTTGTTGCGCATTCTCTCATTTCAACCCTCCATCCATTCTTTGGTGGGCTCGTTTAGCGGATTTGAGACCTCCCCGTTTTAGCCTTTCGCTGCTGATTCAGAACCACCCACGGATCCCACTGCGCCACCAGAGTTGCCCAGACGAAACGCTCCTAGTCTCTCAACCTTACTGTACGCTTTCAGCGCCCAGCCTGATCTCAAACCGGCCTCCCCCGTTTGGGCGTCGACAAGACGAATATCCCGCCCTGGGATTGACTTTACTTTTACCATTGATTTATTCTTTGGTAACATCACAACACAATCATCCAGCGGTGGTCATGTCACATCTGCCATCAGGCGCCGACACGATGCGCCGCCTCTCCCACGACCTGGCGGAGCCGTCGCGCAATATCGAAGAGTCAAACGGGGCGCCGGCGGACCATGAAATGGAAGATACACTCGATCTCTCCATGCCTCCTCCCGATGAGGAAGACGATGTCCTAGATGACGACTCCAGAATTTATACACCCCCTCCCCACATTGCCGCTCGCTTTTATCGCCCAACGCAGGCTCGTCGCAGAGATTCGGCTGCCTCGTCGCGCCGCAATTCAATCTCGTCTGCTCACTCGCGATGCTCTTCTATTCAACCATCAAGTCACCGAGGAGGTGAACAGAGCAAGCATGTCGCCCAGCATCTTCGCCGCGCCTCTTTTCTTGAGGACCGCAGGGCGCGACTTGCCGATCGAGCGGCGCATGCCGAAAAGGTTCGCCTTCGAGCGGCCCTGGCCAAAGCGACTCATCGAGATACTTCACTATCGGAGGAGCGAGCCATAGCGGCACAGCAGGCCAGGGAGCGCAATTTGGCAGAGATTGTCGCCAATTGTGCGGATGAGGTCAAGAAGGCAAAGCAGGTTGCCGAATTTATGAAGGAGAAGCGAGAGCAGGACATTTCCCGATTGAAGGCTCAGATCGAGGAGCGAATGGCTGAGGCAGAAAGACGAAGGGAAGAATTACGAACCAAGAATGCGTCTAAACGGAGTCGCGGGCAGAGTATCATGGCAAGGAAGCCCACAGATCCCATGCCCGATGCCGAGCAAGAGAGACGCAAGCTCACGGAAGATGAGGCCGCAAGGAGCATCCAATGGTGGTGGCGTGGCTGCCTCCGAAAGAGAGCCATCTCCGAGTTCAACAACCTCGGCTTGACCGTGGATGGCATTAGAGATACACACTTCGATACTGTCGTTGAGCTCCTGGCTCAGGAGCGGGTTCTTGTCATCACGGCACAATTGCTTAGACTGTGTGGTCTTGAGGAGGGTGAAACTGGTTCGGTTGGCGAGATGACAGCCGTTCGCACGTTTCTCAGTGCCTTCTTGATCCTTGGCCATCCCAATCAAGTTCTCAGCAACAAAAACGACAGTGGTGATGAAGACGTCGTTGATGTACTCAATTCTCATCGATTGCCTTCTACGGACCTTGCCAATCCTCAGTTGCAAGGCTTGGTGGGCAAGGCCCGTGACTTGCTCATTTCTTTTGAGAATACCCTCTCTCGCTTGACGTCCGCCAACAAATACACTATGCCACCTGCACTCAAGAAGAAACTTCCTGAGGCGTATGCCACTTTCTACAACGCTTTCATCGCTTGGAAATCTCGGGACTCTAATGCATTGATTGAGGTCATGCTTATGCAGTTTGTCGAACTTGACGCGATCTACCATACCGTCAAGGATACAACTGACGATGCTGCTACAGCTCTTTACAAGAAGAGCATCCAAGACAACCAGTTGATGCTCATAGTGCGGATCAAGAAACTAGCAGGTGCAGATAAGGGCAAAGATATGATATTCAAGGCGGTTGCTCAAGCCCGCAAAGATCGACTTGCCAAGAAGAAGACCGGAGACACAAAGCCCCGTGTGGCTGAGCACGCACCCGGGGAAGCAACTGAGACAGCTAAAAGTCTGGTCTCATCCGAGTCTCAAACACTGACTCCTCCTGCGACACCAGCCAGCAAAGCCCAGGAGAAGGCACCTGCGCCCAAGACAGGCCTCAATGGTCTATTGCCTAACAACAGGATTGTGGTGCATGAGCTGGCCATCAACAAGGAATATCAACTCTCGCCTGACGAATACCGAGAACAGCAATCGGAGCGTTCGAAATATATATATATGAAGATGCGGACCACTATGACAGATGACAACAGTGGAATTAATTTCCAAGTTTTTGCTCTTATCGCGAGCTACATCAAGGAAAGGCTCCAGCGTCTGCTCAAGCCGGGCAACTCCATGTATAACCTTATCGGTGAAATTCTGGACCCCGAGATGGCAGAGCGACAATTCGCCCTCGGCAACTTCTCATACGAGAAATTCTTCACTGCGATGTCGTCACTTCTGCCCAAACTATGTGCCCCTTTTCGCGATGAAGAGGTTCAGGACTTGATCCAGAACAAACTTGCAGATGGCGACATCATCGATCGAGTTGAGGCCCTCAACGGATTTATTGATGTAATGCTCTGCGACTACATCAACTATCTTTTGCGAACTGCTGCACCTCAGCTTATCCAATCCGCGGCACCATATGAATCTAAGAGGTTCGCTGAGGATTTTGAGAAAGGCGAGCTTGGCCTCGCTGCAGCCGAGGCGACGTGGAAGGCTTCGCGAGCAAAGGTTCTTGCAGAAGTTCAGAAGAGGGACCCAGAGGGAATCAACCATACGAGGTCGCGACCAAATGCTGGAAAGTTCTATGCGCAGATGCTCGTGGACATCTTTACCAGGATCTCTCCCCCGCCCATTGAGGAGGTTCCAGAGATGCTTCGTCTAGATTACAACCGCATCGGCCAAGTATCTACCACTATCCAGCGGGTTATTACCGCTGGTGCTGTTCTGCTGCAGTGCAAGAACCTCTTGAAGCGGGATGTTCGTTCTTCATGGAAGATGGAAGCAACACGCATCATGGCTGTTCTCGAGGCTGGCCATCCCCTCCAAGCCACTGTGGACGGTGTGATGGCTGCCCTTGAGTCTGGACGTTCCATGCCGACGGCTACCAAGAGCCACCTCCGCGCTCTTGTTACCAAGGTTCTGACTGCCAGTCAAGACATGGCACAGAACGGAAACGAGCCTAGAGAACCTGTCTTGCGACTATTGCTCACCCGCCTTCGTAGCAACATTCTTGCCCGCCTCGCTGCAGGATCAGCAAGCGAGAAGGTCAAGGCGGCCAACACGGCTGGCGAGAAGCTAGCCAGTCTCGGACTTTCTGAGTTTGTTGATCGAGTTAGAGAGATTTCGAACTTACTGGAGAAGATTGGAACAGTTGACAGAGCAGCCCATGGGCCTTGGTGGGATGCCGTGGCGACAAAGGTTGAGCAAGAAGAGATGTCGACATAGATGTAATGGATTGGATTGTTTTGATAGGGATTATGCATGATGAGCAATAAGGATGCATGGTATTTGGAGGTTAGCGTTTGATTCTTTCAATCAGGCAGGAATGGGTTTGCTTTTACTGGGAAGCGCTTTTGAACTTGGGTTGCATGGCGTACTGGTATGGAAAGCCAATATGGCTTACTTGGTGGAATTGGATCAAGCTTGTCCCTTCAAAGAAGTGTGGCAGTGTTGATGGGTAGCTCATGGGATCGGCAAATTGCACTTTGGCTGGAATAATGGATAGAATGTTATTTCAACTGAGCGGTAGAAGCGTACACTATATCTGGTTTCAGAATTCAATCATAAGAAAGCAACAGCAAGCATAGTGACAATTGCACTTTTGACCACTATGAATTGGGTAACATCGTGCCTAAGAAAGAAAACAATTACCTCAAAGATTGAGTAAGCGTAAAATAATAGAAAATTGTACAAAACTTTGAATAATCTATGATAAATTTATCCCAAGGTCTTCCAGATTACAGTTAGGAGGACATTCTGCTATCGCTAACCCTCTCCCAGTTTGCTTCATGTCACAATTTCATACATCCACTGTTTGCTATAGACTTGAATGATCTCTGTATGAGTAGCCGACTCGATATGATTGTGGTTTCTCTCACTCCTCTTGAGTTAGGTACTAAATTACCCTATCTCATGATGTACAGTGCAAAATGAATGTCATGACACAATACACACGGCTCGGCCATCTCGCTTGTCGCCGGCAATACGGCATACCAAACGGCCCTGAGCCTTACGTTGACCCGAAAATTTCGACACAGCATCGACACTCTCTTAATACTGATACGATACTGGGGGCAGCTACGCTACAAAAGTGCCGTCAATGGGGGCTCTCAGTTGCTAAAAGAGGATATCATTGGCATCCCATAAGAGTTCACCCATCAACGACCTGCCCAATTGCGACGGCGCATCACACCTGAAAAGGGTGAAGGATCCGGGCCAAAATGTCGTCCTCGAAGGGCCTTTTGCGACATCTGCCTCTGCCTCTACGTCTGTGGAGCAATTGTAGCCCACTATCGGTGATTACACGGCAGACGGCACCGTCTGTATCTGTTTCTGTTTCTCAAGGAATCGTCAACTGTGGTATATTTTCGAGAGGTCTTGCTTCACTTGTAAATGGTCAAGTGAAGCCGTTGAATAGTCGCCGTGATAATGGACGGCCTATGCCAATCGGTATTCGGAGGTACGTTATCCCTTCCATGATAGAGCTCCCGTCTCCTGTGGTTCCGCTGGAGATAGAAAGGGAGGGGCAGCTGGGATCTTAACGGAAACCGGCCCACACCCCACCAGCCGCGGGGTCCTTTCTACACGGCAACGCATCATCACGCTCTTGTTTGCTCTGCCTACATTACCTCACCTACTAGTCCATTGCCCTTTTGTCAAGCTATATCTTGCCGCCTGTTCCACTCTCACATCATCTGTCTCCTGCAATTTCTTCTCTATTCTCATTATACCCCATTGTTCTTGTGAACAACTCGAGACTCGCTAAGCAAAAGCTCAGAGCTATAGCTTGCTAACACAACAAGCAGTCTTGTTCCCAAGATCTCTGACCGAGCTTGTTCCGCCCACGCCAGACTCGCCCGCAACGAAACAATGACTGACCGCGATGTTCTCCCCGACAATGTCAAGCCCAAGCACTATGATCTCTCCTTGAGGGATCTCGAGTTCACCAACTGGACTTACCAGGGAACCGTTACGTACGTCACGCCTCCTCTACCCCTCATCGTGAAGCTAGCTCTAACAGCTCTACAGTATCGACTCAGAAATCACAAAGCCCACCAAGGAAATCATCGTCAACACTCTCGAACTCAAGCTCTCTCACGCCAAGGTCTCCGTCGACTCCAAGACATTCGAATCTACAAAGTTCGACTATGACTCCAAGGCTCAGCGCTCTACCATCACCTTTGACGAGGAGCTCCCCGTCGCTTCCAAGGCTTCCCTGATCATCGAGTTCGAGGGTATCATCAACAATGAGATGGCTGGTTTCTACCGCAGCAAGTACAAGCCTGCCGAGACTCCTTCTGCTTCGGTTCCCAGCGATGGTGAATGGCACTACATGTTCAGCACACAGTTCGAGGCTTGTGATGCCCGCCGAGCTTTCCCTTGCTTCGACGAGCCCAACCTCAAGGCCACTTTTGATTTCGATATTGAGATTCCTTCCGACCAGGTTGCTCTGAGCAACATGCCTGTCAAGGAGACTCGACCTTCAAAGGATGGCTGGAACATTGTATCATTCGAGACCTCTCCCGTCATGAGCACTTATCTGCTGGCCTGGGCTGTCGGTGATTTTGAGTACATCGAGGCCTTCACCGACCGCAAGTACGACGGCAAGCAGATTCCTGTCCGTGTCTACACCACCCGCGGTCTCAAGGAGCAGGGTCAGTGGGCTCTCGAGCACGCTCCCAAGATCATTGACTTCTTCTCCGAGATCTTCGACATCGACTACCCTCTGCCCAAGTCCGATTTGATTGCTGTTCACGAGTTCACACACGGCGCCATGGAGAACTGGGGTCTCGTCACCTACCGCACTACCCAGGTTCTCTACGATGAGAAGACCTCTGATCCTCGATTCAAGAACGCCGTCGCCTATGTCGTCGCTCATGAGCTTGCTCACCAGTGGTTCGGCAACCTTGTCACCATGGATTGGTGGGATGAGCTCTGGCTCAACGAGGGTTTCGCTACCTGGGTCGGTTGGCATGCTGTTGACCATCTGCACCCCGACTGGCAAGTCTGGGCTCAGTTTGTCAACGAGGGTATGGAGGCTGCTTTCCGTCTAGATGGTATCCGTGCCAGTCACCCTATCCACGTTCCTGTCCGGGATGCTCTCGACGTCAACCAGATTTTCGATTCCATCAGCTACCTTAAGGGTTGCTCTGCCATTCGCATGCTTGCCAACCACCTTGGTGTCGAGACTTTCCTCAAGGGTGTTTCTAACTACCTGAAGGCTCACGCCTATGGAAACGCTAAGACTACTGCTCTGTGGAACGCTCTTGGCGAGGCCTCTGGCAAGAACGTCAATGAGCTCATGAACCCTTGGATCTCTAAGATCGGTCACCCCGTCCTTACTGTTGCTGAAGAGCCTGGTCAGATCTCTGTCAAGCAGTCTCGATTCCTGTCTACCGGAGATGTTAAGCCTGAGGATGACACCACCACCTGGTGGGTTCCTCTCGGCCTTGAAGGCAAGAAGGACCATGCCGGTATCGCCTCTCTGTCTCTCACCACCAAGGAGGACACCATCCGTGACGTTGACGAGGACTTTTACAAGCTTAACAGCGGTGCCACTGGTTTCTACCGTGTCAACTACCCCCCTGAGCGCCTCGCCAAGCTGAGCAATCAGCTGGATAAGCTCAGCACCGAGGACAAAATCTCCATCATTGGTTCCACCGCCGACCTTGCTTTTGCTGGCAACGGCACCACCCCTGCTCTTCTGACCTTCCTCGAGGGATTCGGAAAGGAGAACCACACTCTGGTCTGGCGCCAGGTTCTTGACTCCATTGGTGGTGTCAAGTCCGTTTTCGGAGAGGATGAGTCTATCAAGAAGGCCCTGGATAAGTTCACCCTGAAGCTCATTGATCAGAAGGTCAAGGAAGTTGGTTGGGAGTTCCCTGAGGGCGAGGACTACCTCACCGGTATCTTGCGAAAGGAGATTATTGGAGTTGCCGTTGCCTGCGGCCACCCTGCGTAAGTGTCTTGCATCCGTAGCTTGACTGGACTAACATGAGTAGTGTCACCGAGGAGGCCCTGAAGCGCTTCAATACCTGGGTTGAGAACCCCGAGGCTGGCTCTATCCCCGCTCCTATCCGTACTGCTATCTGGCGCGCTGCCATCATGAAGGAGCCTGCCCGTACTGTTGAGATTCTCAAGAAGGAGTGGTTCAACACCAAGTCTATTGACGGCAAGCTTCTCTCCCTCAGCGTTCTCGGCACTGTCAAGGACGCTGAGCTCCTCACCAAGGAGGTCATTCCCTTCAACTTCAACGAGTCTCCTCCCTCCAACGCCGTCCCTGCCGGAGACATGCACGTCCTCGGTGGCTCTGTCGCTAGCAACGTCATCGGCCGTCCTTTGCAATGGAAGTTCATGCAGGATAACTGGGATGCCGTCATCACCAAGCTTGGCAACCCCGTCGTTGTCGACCGATACATGAAGCTCAGTCTGGGCAGCTTCACCAATGTGTCTGCTGTTGACGAGATTGAGAAGTTCATGGCCGACAAGGATACCAGCAGCTTCAACCGAACTCTGGAAACTGTCAAGGATAAGATCCGTGGACGTGCTGCGTACCGTGAGCGTGACTCTGACAAGCTCAAGGAGTGGCTCAGCGCTCATGGATATGCTTGACTGTGTAAACTATGATATTGGAAACACGTTTGTAACAAAAGTTAAATACCATTGAAATATGACGATTGTTGAGATTCTTCAAAGTTTGGCTCGAGGGCTGCCCTGACGTCTGGAACCGTTGACAGTTTTTGCTGGGATCTGAAAATTGGCGTACCTGAAACGACAGAACATCTCGACTTTGTCAAAGGATCAAACCTAACAGCTTCTGCTCACAGTATCCCAACTTGATATCTGATTTTACTTAGCCATGGCCCTGAAGATCCTGGTGTTTGGGCCTGAATCACAGCGAAGGTGTAAGCCTAAACGATATAGTAGTAAACTCGGAATCCAATCTCAACGATTCCACAACAGGTTCTTTGGAACCTTGATCGGTCTGGTGGTCTAGTGGTATGATTCTCGCTTAGGGTAAACCCTACAGCACAGCTTGCGAGAGGTCCCGGGTTCAATCCCCGGCCAGACCCTTCCTTACTTTTGCAGTATGACCGTAATTAAATAGGAAACTGTTTCTTTTTAGCATTCGTAATGGTTTTCCACCTCAGAATGCTGCTTTTGAATAGAATGTGATTTCTTTTGATACATATGCGCATAACGAAGTGCATGCGGTGTGACGGTCA